GTATTTAATCAAAATTGTTATTACAAATCAAAGATGATGAAAGAAATTCAGAGGTTGTGTGGTTCTTATCATATCTGCCATTTTAATTACCGGTTTGGCCTCTACAAACACTGGATGGATAATGGCAGATTAAGGGCACTACCATAGGCTTATCCAGGAAGCCCCCATAACAGCTGCTGTGCTCATTGTGACATCTACCTGTACTAGAACAGATTAATGCAGCCTCAAGAACATGTCATGAGACTTTAACACGGTTCCAAAGATCCCCAGTGACTGTGCTTTATGGACAGAAAATTTATAAGAAATTCAAAGATGATCAAGATAAGAAGTTTGAAGAGCATCAAGATTCTAGAGATGTTGTGGGTCTCCCATAAGAGTTGCTACTTTCATCTTCCCTGCAACACATTAACTATCCTTAAGTGTTCCCAGAAGAGGTTTTATGGAAGCAGGTGGAGATGAGATCCCTAAAAGCCCTGGCTGAGTTTTCTCAACCAGTAAATGCATACACGCTATTAGAAATTATGCCAAATTGTTATGGGCTTTTATCTAACAATGAGAACACAGAAAATGGAACACTATGTACTCATTGTGTAATATGATTACTTAGCAGCTGTGTATATGGGTATAGCCCCACTCTACACTCTCAGATGACCTTTTGGAACCAGACTTCACCACCACTAGTAGATCGCACATGTCTATAGCACGCTATGTCTTCATTGCATAATATTTGTTTTCATCATTCAGTATTTTGGTACGGAGAGCTTAGCATAACTCTATGTTCTTAGATGACCTTTTGGAAGTAGGCTTGTATACCCCTAGATGACCTCACCAAGGTTCACAACAGCAGAGTCCAATCCTATTGATCTGAGTGTTCTTTCTAGAGAACATCATATTTGCCCACCGAGTTGATGACATCGTGTTACCTGGACATAGCAAGCATGAAATGGCAAGTACTCTGAATGCCTTGGTAAGAAACACAAACACCAGGGGACAGGAGATAAACCTTACAGAGATGAAGGGGCCTGCTACATCTGTGCAGTTTTTAGGAGTCAAGTGATCTGGGAAATGCTGTGACCTGTCCTCCAAAGCAAAAACAAGTTTTTGTCCCTTGCATCTCCTACCACTAGGATAGAGACATTAAGTTTGGGCAGCCTCTTAAGGGTTGGCATGCAGAATATTTCACACATGAGGTAAAGCTCTGACTTACCTTTGGGCAGTATTGGGAGTACTAACTTTAAGTTAATCCCAGAGCAAGAGGGGCCTCTGCAGCAGGTTTGGGCTTTAGCATAAGTAGTCACTTGGGCCATATCATTTGGCAGAGGCCATAGTACTAGGGGCATCTAGGTATAAAAGGATGATATGGACACTGGCAAACTCCAATAAGAGTCCTAACCCAGCCCAGACCCTTGGAGTTCTACAGCAAGTCCATGTTATCTGCAGCAGAGACAGACCATTCAAAATGCAGCTCTTTGGCAGAGATGGAAGCTGTAAACGGGTCCAACAGCACTGGCTTTGTATTGGACAGAATAATGGTCTCCCAGAGATCTTCACATCCTAATCCCTGGAACCTGTAAATATGTTACTTGGCAAAAAGGAATTTCTGATCTGATTGTGTTAAGAATCTTCAAATGGGAAGATTACCCTGGATTATCTAGGAGAGCCAAACAAAACAACATGTTCCCTCTAAGAGGGAGGCAGAGAGTTAGAGTATGAAGGATATGTGAAGATGGGAGAAGGAGTGAGAGCGAGAGAGAGCAAGAGAGTGAGCGAGAGAGAGCATTGAAGCTATGCTGCTGCTTTGATGATTTGAAGATGAGAAATGGGGCCAAGAACCCAGAAGTGAGGGAAGCCCCTAGAAGCTGGAAAAGAAAAGGAAAGAGATTTTCCCCTGCAGCCTCCATAAGGAACACAGATTTGCTGACCTCTTGACTCTAAACTGGTGAAACTGATTTTTGACCTCTAGAAATGGAAGTGATAGATTTGTGTTATTTTAAGCCACTAACTTTGTGGTAATTTGTTATAACAGCAACAATGAGAAACTAACATGAGCTTTTTTCAGCAAAATGTATTTATAGCTGTTGTTAAGTGTTAAGCCCCTGGACAGCAGAGATTGACACAATGCCCTCGATATCACTCATTTGGGAGAACAAACTGCCATCTGGTGACAAGTGGAGACTACATATACCCTGACTGGGATTTACCTGCTTTGTGGATAGGAGTTTGTCATTATTGTCTGCAGCGTCTTAGCACCAATATTCATGGACTCACAAAGTGTCTGATCTACCAAGACAGGGATCCTATATAAGACTGCCTAAGACCAAGGGCCCCACTTTTTAGCAAAGCAGGTGCATCAGTGAAGACTGTGGGATCTGCTTTTTCCTACACATACTCCACCAAGCAGAAGCTGCCATCCTAATGGAGTGGTGACCTGGTCTCTTAAGGGACAGGATGCCCTGTAACATCGGGATGGTACAACCTATAGGATGTACTCTACTCCTTACGTCCATCAATGGTCATTACATGGTTCTAAAGTCATGAGTCCAAAAGTCAAGGGGTGAGAGTAGGAGTGGCTCTCACGATCCACTGAGGAATTTGTGCTTTCTATGTAGGGGTCTAGAATCTGTGTGTCTAGAGGTCTGGGTTGTAGAGTGGAGAAAATAAGAGTCCCTCTAAGCTTTGGTGTACCGCTGCTACAATGGTGACTTTAGGTTCCTAAGGCCAGAAAACTAGTAGGCAAATAAAAGAGTTACCATACTGACAGAGGTTATCGCCTCTGATCATCATGAACAGAGAGAGTTATTGCAACATGGTGAGGGCCCAGAGGAGTATGTTTGGTGCTCATATGACCCACCGGGTCATCTCCTGTTATGGCAGGTTTAACTGTAAGCGGGCAAGGATAGTAATTACAGTGTACTTAGGGCAGGGTAACCAGGGCCTCAGACCCCTTGGGAATGAGGGTCTGGATCACTCTATCAGGCAGCTCAGAAGTGCCTGACTAGGATGAAGGGAATCTTGCATGGAATAAGAGGAAGCTGTGGTTCATCCCACTGGCCCTCTTTTTGTATAGCGAATTGTGATAACAGAATCCAGAAGGAGCTATATCTGGGTGGAGTGAAGCAACGTGAGAAGCAAGTGGATCTGAGCAGTACAGGGTGAACTGTAGGAGGTGCTGTGGTACCTGCCCACGTGTGTTTGAGCCACAGCATCCATCTCTCTCACTTGTTGGGAATGTTGGTTGCTAATGGCAATACACACTTTTTTTTTACACCTACTTTTTGTTCATCATTATAATGGTTTTGTTCTTTCATCTGGTTATATGTAGCTGTAATGGAGTTCATTTCTTTTTTACTGTTCATTTCTTTTTTACTGGTATTCAGTGGTCTCAATATAACACAATTTACTTTTCTCCTGTTGATAGATCTTTGAAATGTTAGTGGGTTTTGGTTATTACAAATAATGCCACCATGGGTATTATTTTACCTGTCTTTGATTGTACACGTACTTATCTGTTGTGCTTCTACCTAGGAATGAAAGTATGGGGTCACAGGGTACACATAAGACCTATAATAGTAGACAATGTCCAACTGTTTTCAAAGTGGTTTGTGACTTGTTGGGAACCATTTCACGACTCTGTGGGCATGAAGATATTTTTCTATATTATCTTCTGGAAGCTTTATTGCTTTCCTTTTAACTTTAGATCAATAATCAACTTGGAATGAGGTAGGGGTGAAGTTTAATTGTTTTCCGTGTGGAAGTCAGTTGACCATTTGATTTAAAAAGGCTGTTTATTTAAAAGATTTCTCTTTGTCCACTGTTCTACGGCCCAGTATCATGTAGTGTTTCATTTGTTGGATTTTTCTCATGAAGAAGCTTTAGTTCTAAGCAAGTAATTGAACACTGAGCATTATTTGGTTGACCATTTTGTGACATTAACATTATTATCCCCACTTTACTAAGGAAACTAAAGCTTACAGAAGTAAATTAATTTAGTAAGCAGGTTTTCCTTTACTAAGATTCTCGTAATTAATGCCTTACATTAAATAGAAGTTATTAATTAATTAACTAACTAACTAACCAGATAACAATATGGAGACAGGTGATTCAGACCTGCTAAGGCACTTTGCTATCTTCATGTGGTATCCATCTCTGGGTCCAACACTCATGTTTCAGCTCCCACTCACATGTTCTCATTGCAGCTTAGTGGGATGAGAGGATGTGCATGGAAATGCATGCTCCCTAATTTAGGGGCCTAAAATTTAGGGACATACATTTACTTGGAAATTACACAATTTTACTCATATCCTATCGGCCAAAATTCACTTACCTAGCCACATCCAAAACCAAGAGAGCTTAGAAGAGAGTGGAGTCTTTACTTTAGGTGGCCAGGGTTTGCCAAAATTTGAAGTCTCCATTTCTAAGGGGAAGAAGGAGAGAATGGGTGTGGGAACTGCTAGCCATGGTTATATACTTGGTTGTGGCAGGTCTGAGATTCAGATAAAAGCCTGTGTTCCTTCAGGTTCTACTGCACAGCTCTGGACAACCAGCTGGATTTCAATAGTTCACCTCTTGAAAAACTTCTTGGGATACCTTCCTGTCAGAACTGAATTTCTAGATGTCTCTCCAGACATGTATAGAATTGCTTTCATTAGAAAACAAACCTATTTAGCTCCATGTTTTTGGTTTTTGTTTTTGTTTCACTTGTTATAGCTATCAGGAAAACTGAGTTAAATTTAGAGACTCACTGCTATTGTCAGGGAATACGTTCCAAAGCCTGCTTTAATCCTTCCACTGTTGATTCATCTTCACTTAATTTGTACTTTCTCTCTTCTCTTCTTTCCTCCCCCCCCCCTTTGTCTGGATCTTTATTCTATCTTCCAAAGTTATGGTGCTCTGGTGTTTCCTCTCTGGATCCCCACTGCCCACGCGTTGACGACGAGGAGTAAGTCGAGGGGGTTGGTGGGGAGGATGAGAGCAAGTGGTTTCACAATGTCTCACTTTTTTTCAACTTTTATTATTAGTTTTTATTACACAAGGAATACATATTCATTGTAGAAAAATTAGAAAACACAGAAAAGCAAAAAGAAAAAATAATCACCCATAATCCCACTACCCATAAATAACTACTATTAACATTTTAGTGTATGTCCTTCTAGCTTCTTATGCATATATATATACATACGTAGATATATTTATATATAATTTTCTTTTTTTTACAAATATTGTGTCATACTATACATACGGTTTTATAACATGTTTTTTCATTTAATATATGTCGTGAACATTGTTTTTTATTCCCTGAAAAAATTACACAGATACTACATGCTCATTGTGGAAAAATCAGAAATTACAGATATGCAAAAAAGAAAATATAATTGCTCCAAATCTCACCTCCCAGAGATAGATGCTGTTAACATTTCAGCAAATATCCTTTCAGATGCTGTAATGCACACTGTGTATGTCTATTTTTAAAATCAGAACATATCATGTTCTTCTGTAACTTCCTTTTTTTATTTAACAATATAGCTGTTTACTTCAATAAATAAACATCTAGTGCTTATTCGTAATTGGTGCACAGTATTCCATTGAAAGGATATACCATATTTAACCAACCCTATATTGTAGGCTCATGTTTTTTCCATTCCTCCAAATAATGCTCCTAGAAACATCCTTTTTTTGCATATATTTTTTGAATAATGAATGAATGTATCTTAGTTCATTTTTCTTGACTTTTTTTTTGAGGAGAATTTCCCTAACGTGGAAGTATTTGGCATACACAAAAAATATACTGCCTAAATATTTTTCCAGAATCAATTTACACTGTTGTTGACTCTGTAAGAGAATGTTCATTTCCATACTTCCTTCTTGTCCCTGGGAACTATAATTCTTTATACCCTTTGTCTTTCTGATACATAAAAAGGAGTATATTGTAATAATTTGCATTTTTGATTACTAGTTAAATATTTTCATATTTATTATTTGTTCATTAATTTATAGTACACTGCCAGTTTATGTCCTTGGCTCAATATTCTACTGGAAAGTTTGATTCTTTTTGATCATAAAATGTTATTTACTCATGCATTCATTATTCACTCACACAATAAATATGTTTTCAGTATTTGCTTTGTGTCTAGCACTGGGTTAAGTATCAAGAATATAACAGTAAGCGAAATAGACATGGTTGCTGCTTTCCTGAACTTCCAGCTTAGTGGATATAAACAGACAAATAAGTAATAATTTAATAAGTACAATGAGTAAGCAATGAAATGCAAACACTTGGTTGGGAAGGTTGTAGATCTTAGAAACTTCCCAAGGGTAATGGAGCTTAAGCTCTTGATATATACTAGGGATCGATGCTCATTGTTGCATATCTTTCAAATTTTGTTTTCTCTTAATTTGGTTTGTTATTTTTTACTGTATAGGCATTCCACATTTTAATTGGTCTAATCCATCCATCTTTTTCTTTTTTATTTCTTCCTTTGTTGTCATGCTTAGAAAGGCTTCTTTTCCATAGTAAAATTCCATAAATATTTGTCAGTATTGCCTACTAGTCCTTTTACATATTTATGTGCTTTAACATCTAAATCTGTGCTTCACCTAGAATTTATTTTGTTGGAAATTATGAGGTATAGATCTAGTATTTCCCCCAACATATGGCCAAACCAATCATCCCAAATTATTTAGTAATCCAACTTTACTCACAGATTTGAAATGCCATCTTTATAATGCACTTAATTCCTCTATGTTCTTGGGTTTATTTCTGATCTTTATACCTAATTATCATGATTTATTATGGGCCAATAGCATCATTGGTTTTTCCTCATCCTATCTATTGTGATCTGAAAGCTGAGCATTTTGCATTTGGTGACGTTTTAGAACACAAAGAAATGATAGATAGTGCTTAATTAGGTTTATGCGTGTGGCATGGGACGTTAGTCTGGATGATATCCTTAATCCTTTCAACTTTGAGACTTCCAGAATCTGAATTCCATATGGGATACTGTTACCTGGTCCCCCCCTTTTTTTTTCCTGTCTAAAATGTCTTTGCATTTATGGTCTCTTCTTATGCTAAAGCTCAGCATTCAGTAGGTGGCAGTATTGCCACACAGTAAATATCCAACCATTGGAGGAGCACCGAGGAACAAAATGATCTGGATTTTAGAATTTCCCTAAGAGCTTTCATTAAAGGAGGCATCAGGGCTGTGCTACTTCTAAAGCCTTCTTTGTACCCTTGATCAATAGCACAACCAGAAGTCTGCAGTCACTCTGTTCCTAGAGGCGTGCAAAACATCAGTATTTTAGAGTGATAACTTGGCCTTGTGGGCATTTGTGCACATACCTTATCCACAAGTGTCTTTGAGCCCAACCACTGACTGATTTAAAGCCTGGAAATGTGGTTTTAAACAATATGATTGTGGTGGGATTCAGGTGATTTTTATTTTCTTTATACTTGGTGGTATGTTTCCGATTTCCCACAAAGAACATATATTGCCTCTGTAATCTGGAAAAAACAACAACGATGCATCAACATGCGATATTAAAATTATAATGGTTACATGGTGAGGGTGTGCCAGGAAAAGTTGACATCCTTTTCTGTTTTTAGCATGTGAGCACATGCAACAGAATGGGTTCAGTGTTCTCTCCTTACCTCTAGAGAGCAGCTCAATGTTATTGCTAATCTGAGAGCAAATTACCAGAAGGAAGCCAAGACAGTAAACCTCTATCTCATGGACTACACCTGAGAAAGTCCTTTGGTAGGTGAGAGGAGAGTCGGGTCAGCTCCTAAAGAGATGCATTGGCATATCTAATGGGAAATGGTGAGCTATCTATTGCCATTCTGAGTCAGTGTAGGTCATCATGACTTGGAGCACTGAATTTAATTTTAGGACCGGCTAGTGAAAGAAGATCTATAAATCTTGGAGTGTGTCCACAGGAACTACAAAACCAATCAAAGTCTGGGAAACAGGCACTATGAATAAAAGATAAGGTGGCTGAATTTATTTACCTTAGATATGGAAAGCCTAGCTGGGGAATTAGACAAATTCCCATCTCCATGAATAGCTACTACAGCCCTCCTAGACCTGGAGGTGAGACCTGAATTTATTAACAGTCTTCAGTTGTACAAAGGACAGTGGCACAGGAGGTAAGTGTTCCTTTCATACCAAGACTAAGGCGAGAGTGAGCACAAATTAACCAAGCAGAAGTGATTTAGGTCAAGCATTTAGAGGAACATGCTGAACATCAAGGTTGGGTTTATCAGTTAATAACTTTGCATGAATTAAAAGGAACTAGATTGAAGCTAAGGGTTCCATAGAGTGGAAAGGTGGGTGAAGGCAAAGATGGGAGCTGAGAGTGTGCCCAATTGGGATATTTTGTAATTTCTAAAACAACGGGCCCTAAGTGAATTAACCACGTGGGATGAAAATGAACCATATTCAAAAAAGATATTAAACTTTAGTGAAACCTGATTTATGAAATCACAGTTTGCAGACAAGATAAATCTAGGAGTGGTTACCTGCTTTTCAAAGGGGTATTCATTCTAAGAGTCTTTAAATAGCATATTCCAACAACTGTTTTACCAATATTTGATTTAGAAAGTTATGATTTTCTCATAAAACTTTCAAGGATAACTCTTTATACAAAGTCAGGCATTCCTATAACCATGCATGAATTACCAGTTCATTAGAACACAACTCTGGACTCCAAGAATAAGGCCAAAAACCAGCTGGTATCATCTAGAGAACTGCGTAGCCTTTTGAGGTCTCTTCCAACCCTCTAAGCCTTTTGCTTTCAATCACAAAAGCTAGAAGACAATTCCAAGTATAATTTTCACAACATCAGATATTAGGTTGAACCATATGAAACTGCCATTTTTGTGGGTCAAAACAGTCAAATACCAGCAATTTTGTATAGGTTAATCTAATACAAGAATTATTCTGGTAGCTCAAATAAACCTAATCTCCATCTTCACTAAAGCTAACAGCTTTAATGTATTTATTGTTGGGCCAAAGTATTGGACATATAAATGCCTGTGCACATAAGTACTGAGAAAGTATAGGGTTGGGATTAACGATGCATCTTGGATAAACCACTTATAGGCATCTAGCTCATCCTTTTATTGTACTAGACACTGGTGCCTCTTGTCTTACTTTAGGATTTCTCAGATTTTAGAAAGCAAGAAAAGAAGTCCAAAGGCCTGATCTCTCAACTCATGGGAAATTCTGTTTGGGTAAAGGGCCAAGGAAGAACAGGGGAAAATATGACACAATTTGTATCATGTTACAAGTTTAGTGAGGAAGATCATAACAAAGCTGTGCGCAGAAAAACAAAGCGTGTGGCTTCCTCCTTTCTAAAATATAGTATTGCTTAATGTGTCCTGCTTTCAAGATTCTAAGCATAAGACAAGACACCAAGTACACATTGGAAAAGTCATATCTGCATAGTCATCTAAAATGAGACAAGCTTAGCGTAACTAAAAAGATTTTATTAACGTAAAATGTTAAATATTTTTACGATCTGAGCTAATTCCAGCATGCCCTAAGATTTAACACTATGCTGATGTGCAGACATCATGCTTCAGATTTCAATTAGAACAAAATGTGATAATATTCAATTTTACATTTGAGGGTAATTGTATATGTTACTACACCATTTTCTACCTGGATTACTTCATTCTCCAAGAAGCTGAAAAAGACACCATTGGATCAAAAGGAAATTAGTTGCCCATATGCATTGTACGAAGGTCTTAGGATTATTGTGTATTTACAAAAATTTAAATACTTCTCATATATGGTTTTTGTTGCATTATAAATTAAGATATCTTTATGTAGAAGCTCTTGGATTCTGAAAGAATGGAAGACTAAATGTAAATGAGTGCAGACAAAGCAATAGGTGAGGTGGTGTATGTTTGATTATAATATTGTTTCTAATAATATTGATTGGATTTTTGAACACAGTTTTGCAGTTTTAGATAGGTTTCTATGTTTAAAGACTTTCATATATGATAAATTGTTCACATGAGATCAGCAAGAGCTAAAGATATACTATTATACATGAAATAATTTTTCTCTGTATAGTACATTTAAAAAAACCTTTAAATAATTTAAAAACCATAATTCTTGCATCTGTCATGGTATGGTTTGGAGCAGACATGCACAATGTCAGTTTTAAAAATCCTTTTAAAAACAGCCTGCTTTTCGAATCTTTTTTTTTTTCCCCTTGACAGCAGCTGCTTTCAAATGTAAAATCATTTAAAAGGGTAGGGGGAGGTGAATAAAAGTAATAAGGAAGCATAGAAAACATAGTCAAAAACCAATAATTATGGTTCAGCTGTCTGGAGGTCCTCAGGTTCTGTGATATTTTCAGGTCTTCACGATCGTGGGTTTCCAGGAGGAGCTGCCTAGCTTGAGACCAGACAACACAGCCCAAAGAACCTTCTCTTCCGTCTTCTAACCAGGGGGTAGGGAGTTAGATTTAGAAGGCTGCTGTCATCTGTGATGGAACAGAATGTACATATGAGCGAATTACAGACACAGTAACCTGGGTTTTATGAATTGGCTTTTAAAATCCACCTTTTTAAGATCAAGGTTTCTTGACTTCAGCATTATTGCCATTTAGGACCAGATAATTCTTTGCTGTGTGGGCTGTTCCGGGCACCATAGTGGGTTTAGCAGCATTCTCTGGCCCTACTTACTCTCTAGATGATGGTAATGCTGCCCCACCAGTTGTGACAACCAGAAACGTCCCCACATGGGGACGAACGTTCTTTGTTTAGTGGTGGTGGTAGTAGTGGGGGCACATAGACTGCAGTTGAGAACCACTAATTAGAATCAAACAAGCAAGCTGCTTGGAGGCCCTTTCTGAGTTGGGGGAAGTATAGCTTTTTAGAAAGAGCCCATGCTTTGGGGTAAAGTTGGCCTCTTTTCTAAACCCACCTCTGCTATCTCCTAGCTCTGTGACTTTGAACGTGTAAATTGAAACTTGCTAAGCTTCAGTTTTCCCAAATGTAAACTAGGGTTTACTAATACTTACCTTAGATGAAGATTATATGAAATACTCTGTGAAAAACATGAAGCTTGGCTGGTATCCTAGGTGCCTAGCACAGAGGAAGCATTCAGCAAATAGAGCTATTGTTAACTATTTTTCTTTACCATTGTAAAAGAATGTGATTCCACACGCCTACTTCATGCCTCTGAAAGAAGTTTCTCAACTCTTCCTTGTTGAGTCTTTGGCTAGCGATTTCTATAGATTTCTGTACACAAGGGCATCCTGGGAAGATGGCCCAGTGTTAAATTGGTAAGTTTTGATGTTGAAAGTTTTAGCACGATGACAAGTAGAGGAGGGAAGAAACTGGTAAACCAAATTCAGTTTAGTGAGCTGGTTTTGAAGAAATGGTGCAAACCAAAAGAGAGGGTGGGTAGGCCTAGCCTCTTGCAGCAGAACAGGCAGTCTGGTCCCCGGGGCTGGACAGGGACCACAAGGACAGGACTTGGAAACTGCCAGTGTGGGCAGCACTAGGACATGATTGGAATGGAGCTAGGGGCCACCTAATAGTTGGTTGGCTCTGGCAGCTGTTATGTACCTAAGCTTGGCCAGGATCAGTTGCATTATCTTCCCAGAGCAGAGCCAAGGGGGTTCCTTCCTTTCCCCATCCGAACCTTGAGGATATAGGACCTTAGGAAAGAGTCCAGAATCAGGAACTGGATGAGGGGGTGGATAAAGTGAAAAACGTGCCTCGCTTCCATAAAAAAAAAATGAGTTTGGAGATGAGGTTGGCTTTTCTTGGTTACTGAGCCTGGACGCTCAGTAAACTATCAAGAGCACAAGAAGTTTGGGCTTTCCAGTCCTCTTCAGTGCAGTGTGTCATCCAAGGGCCTGGGCTTTCCCTCCCCTTCCCCAAAGGCTGCCGTGTGTCATACTTATTTGTAAATTAGCATCACTCACTGGTTCCTTGGAATGGCGCCCTATGCTATACATTTAGATGGAACCAAAGTAGCGAGTCAGAGTCAAGGAAGAAAACAGGTGCCCCAGCTGAGGACACCAAATGAATCAAACACGGTGTACTCTCCCAGTCTCCATGGATGAATATTCTCTCTTAAGATTCATATTCCGCTAATGGGGAGAAAAACCGGATGCTCCTTGTCTTTTCCGTGGTGAAAAGCATTTCACTATATTCTGGATGTCAACATTTTGAGTCTAAAAATAGGACCTCTCCCTTGTATAGTTAAACTTGCCCCAAATAGTGAAGACTCTGAAAGCAATGTCAAACACTGTATGTGAGCCTCATTTCTCAGGAGAATCTCTCAGAGATGATTCATGGTCTATTTAGAACAGAAAGAAATGATAACCCCCTTTTCTCATGAGTTTTAGGACTCTTATTTCTTTGACCACCAAATGATCAACAAACTTAACCTACTTGGAGATGGCAAAGCTACAGCAGACTCTGAAGAGTAAAGACTTTCATTTTTTGGTATCTCTTTGGATACTGGCTATGCTTCCTGAAACACAGGTTCACCAGGAATTCAGTGGTTGCTCGAACAGAATCTTCAAAACTATGAAGATATTTATAGGGAGGAAAAGTCTCCTTATTTCCATTTAAGACTTGGAAGATCTATTTCCCAAATGCCCGCATATATCCTTCCCTTGCTGCAAACCCTTAAGAGATCTGGGGAGTGACCTAATGGGTATTTATATATTATAAAATGCAACATGGATGTGTATTGTTCCCACTACATGCGGAAATGTCAACTGCATGTTGTATTTACAGAGAAACTGTGTGTGTGTGTGTGTGTGTGTGTGTGTGTGTGCGCGCGCGCGCGCGCGCGCTGCGGGGGCATGTTTGCTCCCGTGTCCTCTTCTTTTTGTATTCAAAGCACACAGGTATTATTCACAGGTATTATGAGATTCATATCAAGACTGACCTTTGTATCTGTGCATTCATTATAGTGAATCAAAAGGCCTTTTGTGCTATTGAAATTCTCCTCACTCAGCTTCTTTTCATATCTACCTGCCTATATATAGTTAGATAGATATACACACATACATTCACTTGTGAGTGCTATATATACACGCACACGCACGCACACACAGCACTCACATGAATAGAAGTGTTAGAATTGATGAGAAAGTGCTCAGATGCTCAGCAGAGGACAGGCTGCCTGTAGGACAACTGCTGGCTTGGGGCATCTTTGTGGAGCATTTGTGACACCTTTGCCTTGCCTGGAGCTTGTCTGAACATCACCTAGGGCTGAGGTGACACAAAAACTCCAGAAATCCTTGGCAGAAATTCAGAGCAGCTTTCTACACCCTAGGAAGCCGACACGGACAGTAAATGCTGAAATCCACCAGCAGTCAATATGCCTGGAATGGTCTGGAGTGGATTCAACTCCAAGGAAAGATGTCTTTCCACATTGATTGAAATCCTGTCTCTGAAATTACAGGCTGCCAAAAGCCTGGGAACAAAATGGAACGTTTCCCCGCTCATTCTCAGCTTTCTGGGCTAATCCACCTGATCTTGCTGGAAAACCTTTGATTTTTATTGTACATGTTTGAGACTTCTATAGCATCTTTTCTCCAAAGGGCATGCTCTGAGACAGCTGTAACCAAGGACAGTTTTAGATCTGAAAATGAAAAGTGGAGAAAGGGAAAGGGAGGGAGGAAAGGAGAGGAGATAAGCGGAAGAAAAGGAGACTACGCAATTCAGCCATCGGCAAGTTCAAACCTTGGTCATTTGAAGCTTAATTCCTGGGTATTACCAAAGCCAGGGACACTGGAACCTCCTAGGGCACAATGATACCATTTCTCAATTTTTGCTCAAATTTCCTTTGCTAATACAAGATTTCTTGTATAGATGCTATGTTAAGAAACAGAAGGACATAAAAATATGAAGTTTTCAAATAACTGAACATTTGAGTTTAATGCTATGTTCTCAGATAGAACCAAGAGAAGTGGGATGCCTGGGTGGCTCAGCGGTTGGGTGTCTGCCTTTGGCTCGGGGCGTGATCCTGGAGTCCTAGGATCGAGTCCCACATCAGGCTCCCTGCATGGAGCCTGCTTTTCCCTCTGCCTGTGTCTCTGCCTCTCTCTCATGTCTCTCATGAATAAATAAAATATTAAAAAAAAATAGAACCAAGAGAAGTGCTCATGATATAATGGTAGTTGCAAATTTCTCTTCCAGAAAAAAGAAAGGAGACCATCACCCACTGGTTCTCAAACATTAGCTGCATTAAGCATCATCTGAGGGTGTGCCGAAGTAGAGACTGCTGGCCCTCCCTCCAGAATTGCTGGATCAACGGACAAGATCAACTTAGATCTTTCTTAAAAGTTCCCAGAAAAGCTGATGTTGCTGGTCCTGAGGCCACGCTCTGAGAAGCCCTGCATGAGTCAAAGGCCTGCTAGGTGCAGGCTCCATGTTGGGTGCTGGGGATCATACCCGAGGGGGCCTAAAATGAAGGTGGTTCTTGGTGTCAAGGATGTTTGCTTGAGTAACCATGACGCATCATCAGAAATGCCGTAAGAGCGACACGGATACACAACACTATGACAACTCCTAAGATGGAAATTGTCTCCCAAGCAGAGAAGGAAGAAAATGATCATGGAAAATCATGGAGGTCTTGGTATTGGCTCTGGGCCACAAGGGTTGAGGATAACTTGGACATCTGATGAAGGGGGAGACGGATTTTTCTGGATGGAGAGAACAGTGTGAACAAAGTCATGGAGGTCAGAGGCAACTTGAATGTGGGTTCAAGTAAACAGTCCAGTCAGGAATGAAGGGTGGACTGAAGGGTGGAATAGCAGAGACAGAATTCCCTAAATGTGGCCATGCCTTCTCTTGCCCTCTGCCTTTATACGTGCCTTTTCTTTTTCCTGAAAAGTCCTCCCTTCTTGGACAAATGACAGTCCCTCCTTCAAGCTTAGTTTGCAACTTTATTTCATAACATTCTTCCGATTTTCTTCTCAGTCCCCTTTAGAAACCTCAGTTCTTTCCTCTCAAAACCTAAATTGTGGCGTTCAGGGCGTGTGTCTATGCACACACTCCTTGGCTGGTGCCGATTGTTCTTAAGGTTTCAACTACCATTTATGCGGAGATGCTTAAATATGTGTTTCCTACCTCCCATCTCCCATGTCTCACGTCAGCCTAAGACGTGTACACCCGCTCTTCACCACCGAGCCCCACTCTTGGAGTTCTTTCATCTCCCAAACATCACCGTCCTCTGTCTCTACTGCTCCTCCTCTGTTCTCTCCAACTTAGCAGACGCCAGCGTCCACCCTTCTGTCCAACTGTGAACCTGGGCTTCTTCCTTGACTCTGTCTTTTGTCTTATGCAACCCATTAGCTGTTCATGTCCTCTTCTCTGCCCGCCCCCTCACCCCCTGGCTTCTTGGGCACACCTGAGGCGTTCCTCACCTGGATTTTTGCACCTGCCTCCTAACTGGATCCCTCCAATGGCTTCAGGATAAAGTCCAAACCTCAACGTGGATTATAGGGGCCTT